GAGGTCTTGGGGACCTTGGAGGTCGTGGAGACCTTGGAGGTCTTGGGGACCTTGGAGGACCTGGGGACCTAGGAGGTCGTGGGAATCTCAGAGGTCCTGGGGGTCTTGGAGGACCTGGGGACCTTGGAGGTCTTGGGGACCTTGGAGGACCTGGGGACCTTGGAGGTCTTGGGGACCCTGGAGGTCTGGGAGACCTTGGAGGACCTGGGGACCTTGGAGGTCTTGGGGACCTTGGAGGTCGTGGAGTCCTTGGAGGTCTGGGAGACCTTGGAGGACCTGGAGACCTTGGAGGTCTGGGAGACCTTGGGGGTCTTGCGGACCTTGGAGGTCGTGGGAATCTCAGAGGTCCTGGGTTCTTGGAGGACCTGCGGATCTTGGGGGTCTTGGGGACCTTGGGGGTCTTGGGGACCGTGGAGGTCTTGGGGACCTTGGAGGTCTGGGAGACCTTGGAGGACCTGGGGACCTTGGAGGTCGTGGAGACCTTGGAGGTCGTGGGAATCGCAGAGGTCCCGGGGACCTTGGAGGACCTGGGGACCTTGGGGGTCTTGGGGACCTTAGAGGTCCTGGGGACCTTGGAGGACCTGGGGACCTTGGAGGTCGTGGAGACCTTGGAGGTCTTGGGGACCTTGGAGGACCTGGGGACCTTAGAGGTCTTGGGGACCTTGGGGGTCTTGAGGACCTTGGAGGTCGTGGGAATCTCAGAGGTCCTGGGGGTCTTGCAGGACCTGGGGACCTTGGGGGTCTTGGGGACCTTGGAGGACCTTGAGACCTTGGAGGTCTTGGGGGTCTTGGAGGTCGTGGGAATCTCAGAGCTCCTGGGGACCTTGGAGGACCTGGGGACCTTGGAGGTCTGGGAGACCTTGGAGGTCTTGGGGACCTTGGGGTCTTGGGGAGCTTGGAGGACCTGGGGGTCTTGGAGGTCTGGGAGACCTTGGAGGACCTGGGGACCTTGGAGGTCGTGGGAATCGCAGAGGTCCTGGGGGTCTTGGAAGACCTAGGGACCTTGGAGGTCTTGGGGACCTTGGAGGTCTGGGAGGCCTTGGAGGATCTTGGGACCTTGGAGGTCATGGAGACCTTGGAGGTCGTGGAGACCTTGGAGGTCTTGGGGACCTTGGAGGACCTGGGGACCTTGGAGGTCGTGGAGACCTTGGAGGACCTGGGGACCTTGGAGGTCTTGGGGAGCTTGGAGGACCTGGGGACCTTGGAGAACTTCGGGGCTTGGAGGATTTGGGGGTCTTGGAGGACTTGGGCATCTCAGAGGATTTGGGGTTGTTGGAGGGCATGGGGGTCTTGGAGGACTCAGGTTTGTTGGAGGACATGGAGGTCCTAGAGGACTTGAGGTTCATGGAGCACTTGGGGACTTTGGAGGACTTGGGGCTGTTGGAGGACTTGAGGTTGCTGGAGGACTTGGGATTGCTGGAGGTCTTGGGGTTGCTGGAGGTGTTGGAGACCTTGGAAGACTTGGGATCTTGGAGGATTTGAGGTTGTTGGAGGTCTTGGGGATCTTGGGGTTGCTGGAAGTCTTGGGGGTCTTGGAGACCTTGGGGTTGTTGGAGGTCTTGGGGTCTTGGAGGATTTGGGGTTGTTGGAGGGTTTGGGGTTGCTGGAGGTCTTGGGGGTCTTGGAGGACTTGCAGTCTTGGAGGGCTTGGGGTTGTTTGAGAACATGGAGGTCCTGGAGGACTTGAGGTTCATGGAGGACTTAAGGATCTTGGAAGACTTGTGTTTGTTGGAAGACATGAGGACCTTGGAGGACTTGGGGACTTTGGAGGTCTTGGGGTTGTTGGATGACTTGGGGTCTCAGAGGATTTGGGGGTCTTGGAGGACTTGGGATTGTTGGAGGATTTGGGGTTGTTGGAGGGCTTGGGGGTCTCGGAGGACTTGGTGTTCTGGGAAAACTCAGGTTTGTTGGAGGACATGGAGGTCCTGGAGGACTTGAGGTTCGTGGAGGACATGGGGACCTTGGAGGACTTGGGGTTGTTGGAGGATTTGGTGACCGTGGAGGTCTTGGGATCTTGAGGACCTTGGAGGACCTGGGGTTGTTGGAGGACTTGGGGGTCTTGGAGGACTTAAGGATCTTCGTGGACTTGGGGTTGTTGGAGGACATGGCGTTGTTGGAGGACGTGGGGTTGTTGGAAGACCTAGGACCTTGGAGGATTTGGTGACCTTGGAGGACTCAGGGGTCTTGGAGCTCTGGGAGGACTTGGGGGTCCTGGAGGACTGAAGGACCTTGGAGGACTCGGGGTTGTTGGAGGACTTTGGATTGTTGGAGGACTTGGGGTTGTTGGAGGACTTGGGGTCTTGGAGGATTTGGGTTTGTTGAAGGACTTGGTGACCTTGGAGGCCTTGGGATTGTTGGAGGACTTGGGGCCTTGGAGGTCATGTGGTCTCGGAGAACTTGGGGATGCTGGGGATCTTGGAGGACTTGAGAACCTTGGATGACTTGAGAACCTTGGAGGACTTGGGAGCCTTGGAGGACTTGGAGGTCTTGGAGGGTTTGGGGTCTTGGAGGACCTGAGAGTCTTGGAAGATGTGGGAACCTTGGAGGAGTTAGGGCTGTTGGAGGACATGGAGGTCTTGGAGGACTTGGGGTTCTTGGAGGACTTGGGGACCCTGGAGGACTTGGGGCCTTGGAGGAATTAGGGATCTTGGAGGTCGTGGGGTTGTTGGAGGTTTTGGGGTTGTTGGAGGATTTGGGGTCTTGGAGGATTTGGAGGACTTTAGGTTCTTGGAGAATCTGGGGATCCTGGAGGACTCAGGGTTGTTGGAGGACTTGAAGTTGTTGGTGGATTTGGTGACCTTGGAGGACTTCGGGACCTTGGAGGTCCTGGGGTTGTTGGAGGACTTGGAGATGTTAGAGGACCTAAAGACTGTGGAGAACTCAGGGGTCGTGGGGTTCTTGGAGGACTTGGGGATCCAGGAGGACTTAAGGACCTTGGAGGACTTAGGGTTGTTGGAGGACTTGAGGACCCTGGAGGTTTTGGGGATCTTGGAGGATCTGGGGTTGTTGGTGGACATGGGGACCTTGGAGGTCTTGGGATTCTTGGAGGACTTGGGGGTCCTGAAGGACTTAAGAACCCTGGAGGACTTGGGGATGTTGGAGTACTTGAGGACCCTGGAGGTCTTTGGGATCTTGGAGGATTTGGGTTTGCTTGTGGACCTGGGGACCTCGGAGGACTCGGGGTTGTTGGA